TCTACATCGTGTAAGCACCTAATGTAAATCTACATCGCCAGATCTAAAATTTCCTCAGTAAATTACTCCATCTGCTTCTCTTCCTTTAATGCACCTCTTAAAATATACAACTTAAACCAAGCTTCTGAACACTAACTCTCACAACTCATGTGGCTTGGTGTGAAGTTTTGTCTAATAATGCACATGTGAAATGGCTTTGGGTGTTGCTCTTGTATTATGGCAGTGAATTCAGAATAGTCAACTGAAAAGTGAGATCATAGTATTGACCATTTGCTGTATGTACCACCACTATTTCTCACTTGTTGCTCTTGTTTTTAAAAACAGAGTAATAATTGGCTGAGTTTGCACTATCAATAGATGTAACCAAAACAGTCATTCATAGGCATTAGATGTCATTGTGCAATGTCAAAAGTATAAACTAGAAATATCCATATTTTAGATTCAATTACTGGATGATAAAATGTGTACAACTTCAAAATTAATCATTAGTAACACTGGTGGGCCGATTTGCTAGTGCTGCAAAGGAGAGTTTAAACTAAATTGGCAGGGAGTTGGGATCCTCAACAGCAGGGAGGCAAGTTCGAGGCTGGAAGGAGATGCAGTAATCAGAAATAGCAAGTTGAAGTGACAGGTCAGGCTGGAACAGCACAGGGAACGAGGAATGCCTGTTGGATTAAATTGCATCTATTTCAATGCAAGAGGGCTGGCAGGTAAGGCCAATGAACTCAGGCCATGGATAGGTACGTGGGGCTAGGATATTATAGCCATTACAGAAACATGGCTAAGGGAGGGAAAGGACTGACAGCTTAATGTGCCAGGTACAGATGCTTTAGGCAGGACAGAGGTGGAGGACAAAGGGCAGGGAGAAGTTGCATTTTTGATTAAGGGGAGTATCACAGTTGTTTTCAGAGATGAAATAACTGAGGGATCATCCAGTGAGGCTTTGTGGGCGGAGCTAAGAAATAAGAACAGGATGGTAACGTTACTGGCGTTGTATATAGGCCCCCCAGTAGTCAATGGGAATTAGAAGAACAAATATACAGGGAGATTGTGGAGACTTGCAAGAGAAACAGGATTGTCATAGTGGGTTTTTTTTATTTTCCTAACATAGACTGGGGCTGCCATAGTGCTAAGGTCTTAGATGGGGTGGAATTTGTTAAATGTATTCAGGAAAGTTTCCTCAAGCAGTATGTAGAGGGTCCTACTCGGGAAGGGACAGGACAGGTGACTGAGGTGACAGTGGAGGAGCACTTTGGAACTAGCGACCATTGTTCTATTAATTTCAAAATAATTATGGAGAAGAACAAAACTGGTCCACAGGTTCAAGCTCCAGATTGGGGCTGGGCGAATTTTGATGGAATTAGACAGGAGCTTGCAGGGGTTGATTGGAGTAGTTTGTTTGCAGGGAAAGGAACCTCTGGCAAGTGGGAGGCTTTTGAAAGTGTGATAGATAGAATTCCTGTAAGGGTGTAGGGCAAGGTTGGCAGGAGTAGGGAACCCTGGATGACAAGAGATATTGAGGCTTCACCCAGAAAAAAGGAGGCATAGCTCAGGAACAGGCAGCTGGGAATCAAGGGAATCCTTGGAGGTAAATAGGGGTTACAGATGTTTACTGAAGAAGGAAATCAGGAGGGCAAAAAGAGGGCATGAGATAACTTCGGCTGAGAAGATTAATGTGAATCCAAAGAGATTCTTTAAGTATATTAAAGGAAAAAGAATAACTAGAGGGAGAATAGGACCCCTCAAGGACCAAACTGGACATGTATGGGTGGAACCACAAGAGATGGGTGAGGTCCTCAATAAATATTTCTCCTCTGTGTTTACCATGGAGAAAGACATGAAGACTTGGGAACTTGGGGAAGTTAGTGGCAATATCTTGGGGACAGTCATATCATAGTAAAGGAGGTGTTGGAAGTATTAGAATGTAAGAAAGTGGATAAATCTCCTGGTCATGATTAGACACATTCAAGAACCCTGCAAGGGGCTAGAGGAGAAATTGCGAGGGGCTCTGGCTGATATATTTGCATCATCATTAGCCACGAATGAGGTTCCGGAAGACTGGAGGTTAGTGAATGTTGTGCCCTTATTGAAGGAGGGCTGCAAAGAAAACATGGAAATTATAGACCAGTAAACCTAACACCTGTGGTAGGTAAGTTACTTGAGAAGATTTTGAGGGATACAATACACATGCATTTAGAAAGACAGAGTTCGATTAGGAGTAGTCAGCATGGCTTTGTGCATGGGAGATCGTGCCTCACAAATTTGTTAGAGTTCTTTGATGAAGTGACCACGAAGGTTGATGAGGGCAGGGTGGTAGACGTAGTCTGTATGGCTTACAGTGAGGCCTTTGATAAGGTTCCACATGGTAGGCTGCTCTGGAAGGTTAGATCGCATGGAATCCAGGGAGAGCTGGCAAATTGGATACACAATTCGCTCAATGGGTAGGAAGCAGAGAGTAAAAGTGGACGGATGCTTGTCGGACTGGAGGCCTGTGACTAGAGGTGTGCCTCAGGGGTCGATGCTGGGCCCATTGCTGTTTGTTATCTATATCAATGATTTGGATGAGAATGTACAAAGCATGATTAGTAAGTTTGCGGATGACACTTAAACAGGTGGTATCATGGACAGTGAGGAAATTTATCAGAAAGTGCAGCAGGATCTTGATCAGCTGGGGAAGTGGGCCAAGAAACGGCAACTGCAGTTGAACATAGATAAGTGTGAGGGATTGCATTTTTGCAAAGTCAAATCAAGATAGGAGTTTCATGGTGAATACTAGGGCCTTAAAAAGGAGTATAGTGGAACGCAGGGGCCTTGGAGTGCAGGTGCACGGTTCTCTGAAAGTGGAGTCACAGGTAGATAGGGCAGTGAAGGTGGTACAAAAACAAAGTTCAAGGAAAAACAGAGTTAATGTTTTGGGTCCGGTGACCCTTCCTCAGACCTTCACACTGGCCTTCATCAGTCGGGGCTTTGAGTACAGAAGTTGGGAAGTTTGTTGCAGTTGTACACAAAATTGGTGAGGCTGCACTTGGAGTATTGTATTAGTTTTGGTCACCTTGCTATAGGAAGGATGTTATTAAACTGGAAAGAGTGCAGAAGTAATTTACAAGGATGTTGCCAGGACTCAAGGGACTGATTTATAGGGAGAGGTTGGACGAGCTAGGACTTTTTTTCTTTACAACATAGGACACTGAGGAGGGATCTCAAAGAAGTGTATAAGATCATGAGAGGCATGGATAGGATGAATGCACTCAGTCTTTTTCCCAGGATTGGGGAATCCAGGACTAGAAGGCATCAGTTTAAGGTAAGAGGGGAAAGAATACATGGGAACCTGAGGGGCACTTTTTTTTTTTTTTACACAGAGGGTAGTATACATATGGAATGAGCTGCCAGCAGAAGTGGTTGAGGCGGGTACATTAGCAACATTTGAAAGGAATTTGGATTAATACATGGATTGGAAAGGTTTAGAAAGATATGGGCCAAGTGCAGAGAAACAGGGTTAGCATGGATGGACATTTAGGTCAGCATGGACCCGTTTGGGCTGAAGGGTCTCCCTCTGTGCTGTAGGACTCTATGACTCTAAATCATGAAAAATTGTTGAGTTTAATGTTTTGAATTTGCTGTCCTATCACCTTTGGACAAATGTTAACACACCAATGAAAATGATGAATTGTCAAATTTAGCAGGGAAACGCTCCACTGCTAATAACTTGAAGAGAAAACAGCTCTGCCCTGGAAGTTTCAGCCACTGAATTTGCATTGTCTGAGGTCATCCAAGCTTTTGGCCAGCACCACTGGTGTCCCTCCTCGGGTTTGCTGAACAGGTGGCTATTAAAGGGGTCACTAGGTATATTTAGCAACTGAAACTTGAGTAAACTCACTCTCTGATTGGTCTGCCAGTTCACATGTTAATTTAGACGCTGATGCAGCTTGTAGCTCTTGCCCAGCGTTTCTTGGGAGGGGAACGTTGGGGAGGCTGTAGCTGCTGGGGAAAATTACTTTTAAATATCACGGGTAAGATTTTGTTATTTCTGTCTCAAGTCTGGATTGTAAGCATGTTCTTGCAAAGAGGTTCTATACTTACTATGTGCTTTAATTACTATCCAATATATCTGGTCAGGACAGATTTGATTTGGTCTTCAATTAGTGTACAGTAAACCATCTGAGTTATTATTCTGTTTGATCCTTTGTTTAAGGATATTTCCAATTTGGTGTAACAGCCATTCTGGTTTTGTTGTAATTGTGGAATTGTGTAGAAGCTACTGCTTATTTTCTTAGAATATTAGAACATTCAGAAAAAAAAAAGTTCAACAGCCTCTGTTCCTAAATTTAACTGTGCCTGCTGTGGACTTTGCTTGCCTCAGAAGGAATTGCAACTCAGCTAGCTAAACTAAACCAGCCAATCGCACAGTACCATTAACTTATGCGACAAATTTCTCGAAGCGTAGGAGCAGCTGTTGCAAACCCTTGTTACTTGATCTAAACACTTCCCTCCCCTCCCCACGTATTGTGCCATCCATGGAGACTTAGTACTGACAGTGCAAGCAAATCATTCCTTGAACAAAACCTTGCAAATAAACACTGAGATCTCCGTTTTATTTAATTACTTGTCATCAGCACTTAACCTGCTTTCCTCCTCCTTTTTACAGCTGTAAATTAAAGAGTGCAGAAACTGAAGGGAGTACATTCCTATGGTAATTGAACAGTGTCAAGTCTCATTTCTATAAGGTCATTAGTTATACTTTTTTGCTGACGCCCAGCAAGTATTTTTGTATACGGTATGTCTGCCATACATTATTTGTCTATTTAGATGTGTATATACAGCACCTCAAGGATTGATTCTTTCTGGATCCCATTACAGAGTCCTTTAAAATAACTTACATTTGCAGATTTTTTAAAGCCTTTTCTTTGGATTACCTGTGCATTTTGATTTTCCATTTGCTGCGTTGTGTTAGAATCTAACTACTTGGTTTGCTTTAGGACCCTAAGTGACAGACAGTAAAAATGGAAGACGAAGAGGGAGAATATGAGGAGTACGAAGTGGAGGAGATTATTACGGTAAGAAATGTAAAACAGGTGTGAAAAACAGGACCAACTGGGGGAGCAAAAAGAATAACAAACCTGCTTTCTTACTGCAGTTTTGTCTTCATCTAGTGAACACTTAAAACAAATCCATTTTCTAATTAATATTCCACCAACAATTAAAGTCATTTTGATATTGGCTAACTTTTTATAGTAATGATTTCTTGAAAATCATTAATGGCAGTGCAAGTACACTCTCAAGTCTGGCAATCAAAATATGTGATCAAAAAATTGGGTTTTTATGAATGATTTCCCCCCTGCCATTCTAAATAGGTTGCATGAATGTAAGATGCTGGTGGAGTCATGCAAGACTTATTAAATCCAATGTATTTTCTAAACAACCTGTTCAGAGATGGTATTACACATCTCTGGAACAGGTCAGACTTGAACCCTGGCTTCCTAGCTCAAAAGGTAGGGATACTACCACTGCACCACAGGAGCACCCCCACCCCCCCATTTTTTGTTAAAATTTAATCTATTTTCTAATCAACCTGTTCAGAGATGTTATTACACACATCAAGACCAGTTGGGACTTGAACACAGTCCTCCCAGTCTGGGGTAGGGACACTACCACTGCACCACAGAGCCTTTATTTAAAAAGTATCTTTAATCATCCTGTCCAGAATCACTATCATACACCTCTGGAACAGGTAGGACTTGAAATCAGGCCTCCTGGTTCAGAGTTAAAGACACTACCGCTGTACCTCAAAAGCCCTTATTAATGGAGAAGAGACGAATTGTTATCAGCAGTGACATTGCCATTAACCTGAAGTGATTTGCAATCAGATCATTTGGTTTTCTTCCAGGCCCATGGGGTTCTAATCTGACCCCAATTTATTTCTGAAAACCGGCAAGTTTCAGGATTAGGCATTGCCTCTTCCCTGAAGCGGCTGGTTGTGATGGGATAGTGTACCTGCATTTACTGTACAAATCTTTCATGTCAGTGATCAAATAAAATAAGATATGTAATCTCAAGCTAAAATTGGGAGATTGAGCTCAACAATTAAGCTATGCCTTCTCCCTGAACAGGGCGAAAATGTTTCTTACCATCAACAAACAGCAGTCATGCTGCTTTTTCTGTATGTAGATTTTTTTTTCAATTGTAGCAATCCTTTATCTTACAGCTCATAAATAGAAACGTACGTTTTATATTAAAACAGAATTTAATAAGATTAAACAAAAATGGATAATCCCTCACCTCAACAGTTTTTTTTAAAAAAGTGACATTTGCCTCAGGCAATTAAAATTCCCTGATCTTTTAATCGCTCACTGCTGCTTTCCCACTTCGTGCCAGAATCATTCGCTGGACTCAGATACTTCAGCAGTCAGCATTTAGTAAAAGGCACGCTGAACATGCAGAAAGAATTCAGCATCCGTGTTCAATCCGGCTGAGCACTCACTTCTCAAGTGGTTGATAGGGTAGAAATTGCTCTAACAGATCTGCGATAAAATAATCGGTGATCAAATCCAACGGCATTAACTAGCTTTAAGCATCTTTATATTTTACTCACATATACCTCGAGAATTGGCGATGTCCAAAAATCAGACTTTTTTTGAGCTATGATTTTTGTTTTAAAAAGTTATGAAATAGCGAAGAAAATAGCTTACTGGCCTTTTAGGCCACGCTAGGTGTTGCATTGGCTTGGCGCCACATCGACTCGTTGTCGGTTTCACGTGTTTGTCTTTTCAGGCATTCCAATTAATCCGAATGACCCTTGACCCAGCCTGAACACCTCAACATATTCCCCCACCATCCCGATCTGAAGTCCTGCATGGATTCAGTCCAAAGTTTGTTTTAGTTTTGAGACACTGCGCCTGTATTGATTTTTAAATGAATAATGGATAGAGTCTTAGAGATGTACAGAATGGAAACAGACCCTTTGGTCCGTGCGGAACAGATATCCTAAATAAATCTAGTCCCATTTGCCAGAATTTGGCCCATATCCCTATAAACCCTTGCTATTCATAGACCCATCCAGATGCCTTTTAAATGTTGTAATTGTACCAGCCTCCACCACTTCCTCTGGCACCTCATTCTATACACGCACCAACTTCTGCATGTAAAAGTTGTCCCTTAGGTACGTTTTAAATCTTTCTCCTCTCATCTTAAACCTATGCCGTCTAGTTTTGGACTCCCCTACCCTGAGGAAAAGACTGTGGCTACTCATCCTATTCATGCACCTCATGATTTTGTAAAGTTCTATAAGGTCACCCCTCAGCCTTCGAAGCTCCTGGGAAAATAGCCCCAGACTTTTCAACCTCTCCCCAAACCCAAATCCTGGCAACATCTTTGTAAATCTTTTCTGAACCCTTTCAAGTTTCACAACATCCTTCCTATAGCAGGGAGACCAGAACTGCACGCAGTATTCCAAAAGTGGCCTAACCAATGTCCTGTACAACCACAACATGACCTCCCAACTCCTCTACTCAATGCACTGACCAATAAAGGCCAGCATACCAAACACCTTCTTCACTATCCTGGCAACCTATGACTCCACTTTCTAGGAACTATGAACCTGCTCTCCAAGGTCCCTTTGTTTGGCAACACTGCCCAAGACTTTCCCGTTAAGCGTATAAGTCCTGCCCCGATTTACTCTACCAAAATGTAGGACCTCACATTTATCTACATTAAAGTCCATTTGCCACTCCTTGGCCCATTGGCCCATCTGATCAAGGTTCCATTGTACTCTGAAGTAACCTTCTTGGCTGTGCAATATACCATATTTTTTATTTGTCAGGAATAAGCAATCAAGTATTAATTTCAGACATTTCTGTCTTTTTGACAGTTTGCTAATATGTTTTTCATAATATTCTATGATAACTGAAATATATACTCAGTCAACTTCCTCAATATTTTTTAAATCACTGTTTATTATCATGGTGAGATTTTTCTTCCTTCCATCTTGTAGATTGCTAATATACAGCAAGAATTAATCTTTATCTAAACCAATGAATATACATTTGATTTGTCTGATCTGCCTATTTTTACCTACAGCTTAGCATTTTCTGATAAATATAATGGCTGCCAATCTTTGTTAGCAGGATTTTTATTACGTTATTCACTTTAGAGAGTAGGACCATTAACGATGAATTGGCATACTGATAGAATAATTTCTCAAAATATAATGCTCACACCTATGACTCAGAGTTTCCTTGTTTAACTCATTTATTTAAGTATACAGATTAATGTTGTATTGAGCTGTTGGATACTCTTCAGAGGTTGGTGCAGACTCAATGGGCTGAATTGTCACTATATGCACTGTAGGAATTCTATAGTTCGGTGATAGGGTTCTGTAACTGACTGTAACATTCTACATTTAGGAAGAAAAACAACTCATGATGATTTTCACTATTGGTCACCAGAAAGTGACACCTACTGGAAAGTATACACATGTAGTCAGTGTATGGTGACTGATCAGGCTCAGTTGTAATGCCCTCAAGAACTAAAGTTGCTCACTGATATTGTCTGTGTTCTAATGAACAGTTGGGAGAGGTTACATTGTGTACTTTAACTTTAGAAGGGGACAGAAAGAATTTGGACAAAATAATTAACTACCCCTCCTGAATGCAGTGCTTGGTGTTAGAATATACTTGTACCTCTAGCTTTCTTTCTCCCACCTTCTCTTCCAGGAATACAAATGACAATTGGAACATATCAATTATTACTTCAGGTGAAATTAGAAAACATAGCACAGGCTGAGACTTAAACTTAGTTGCCCCAATTCAATACTATAATATATTATAAATACTATAATCAACAATAAACAAAGCAATGTATAGTGTACTGTATTTAATTTCAGTCACAGTAATTAATAAAAATTATAATTGAAATACACAAAATTCATAGAGGGCTGGGTGGATTAGATGCTGTGGGGTTGCTTCTTCTGACTGGAGGATCTAGAACTGGGGATCATTCAGGTTAATCAGTCACATATGGGACTGAGATAACAGGGAGATCTTCACTTAGAAGGTTGGGAATCTATTGAATTCTGCAGCCCAGAGAACTTTGGAAGATCATTTATTGCGTACTTTCACAACTGAGATTGTAGGATCTTTAAGCATAAAGTATATGGGGACAGGGGAAGAATGTGGAGTTAAGACGATCAACCATGATCTTGAACTGAATGGTGTACTCTTAACCCTTTATCTTATGTTATTAATATGTTTAACTCTTCTCAAGGCATTTATCTAGCTAATCCATAAGTTCTATTAAGATGCATGACCAATTTCAGGGCAATGGGGATAGAGAATAAATTCTGAAAATGAATTTTTAAAAATATAGCCAAATAAAAAATTTGAGAGCATCTTTGCCCATCAGGCCATCGTGGAAATTGGTAAAAAGGTTACTTAATTGTATTGTTCTAAAATGAGAGCGCAGAGAAATATTAGTCTTGCAAATGTCGAGAGGTGGATAAAGTAATAGGACTTTAAGTAATAGGGTGTATTTCGGTTATGTTATAAATTTTACAGTGTGATGCAGAAATCTGTCGTGGTAATTCTGTGTCTTGTAGATAAAATTGCCATATTTAGTATAAGTTACAGTCAGAATTATGCAGCATAGAAACAGGTCTTTCAGCCCACCAAGTCTGTGCCAACCAACAAGAATAATGATTGGCAGCCCTTATAATTCTGCTTAAAATCAAAACTAATTAAATCCAATTAAAATAGTGATGTCGATGAAGAGCAGCTAGTAAGTGTTACCAAGTCCAAATATAAAAGTTGTGAGAGCAGATTTTAAGGAGCAAGTGAAAATATGTTAATATGCGCTGAGTTAGTTTTCCTATTGACTGTGTTTGTGAATAAAAACATCCTTATTCGTTTCATTGTGCATGTATTGTTTAATACCGCTGTGCTTGAATTACGGTTTCATGAATCCCATGTGTGTCTCCATCGTAATATGTATACTTTTTATCTGCTCATCATGCATTTTTCCATACCCAGGATACTTGTAATCTTGTAATCTGTTTCCCAGCTACATCCTTCATCGTTCAGAAAATAATCATAATCACGGCCTTTTGTCAATCACTTTCACATTAGTTTCAGAGAAAACTTTGCAGTGTTGTATCAAGCAATAAATGTTGTCAAAGTCAAAGATTGTTTTTCATGCCATCAACGTGATAAGTGGCTCATTTTCATCCACGCCAAATTTGTTCCATGTTGTCCTTGTTTTCTTGACAATGGCTGAGAACCAGCTCTGGAGCGAGTCCATGCAGTCTTGTTAAGTAATTGAATTTGAAGTTGCAGCCAGTTACACTACAATGTTTCAAATTTAAAACTGAGTGGGAGTTTCTAGTCTAGTGACAGCAGTTCGTAGAAAAAATGAGTCAGCCCCAGCCCGGTTATAATGAACTAAATCCACCAAAAATAGACTTGTGCACGCAATTACACCAGCTTCAAAATAAGTGATGTGAATCAGGTAGCGCGCACTGTGGGGATTACAAAAGGTCATTTGAACAGTGTATTCATCTGTCCCAGTTCTGCTACTGACATCATAACGAAGTAATTCAAGCAGTTGATGTTTTCTTCATGACCTATAGATATTTTTCCAATCAGCCTGTTCAGAGATATCATTACACACGCTTGGAGCAGGTGAGACTTAAATCTATCCTCCTGGCCTAGAGGTAAGGACACTGCCAATATACCACAAGGGCCTTTACGAAATTCGCATTATTTCCACAGTTCCCATCAAAGCAATAAGCAGTGATTCCTCGAACGGGAATCAAGCCTGGGTTGCAATGATAGTGCCAAATCCCAACCATTAGACCACTAGTGAGACACTTCATGATCTATGATAGACCAAATGTTATTAATTACAGCTGGGAAAATATTGCTGCATTCAGCCATTTAAAGTATTGTCTACTTTAATTTAATTGATTGAATAAATGTCCATTTTATTTTCAATCAGATGCCTTTATTTCTTGCAAACCTGAAATAATAAATGAAGCTGTTCAGCAATTTTTTAATGTGTTGTTTTATCTAAAACTCAAGATTTAGACTAATTTTACAATGATCACACCATGTAATTAGATAGCTTTAGATGCATTTTATTGATTAGTTGCCTACACTAGAATCATCTCTTCCCATTTGTAATTCTAAGATTTCTATAAAACTTGATTTCTAAACACCTTCTAAGTTGCAAAATTCAAAGTTCAAGACCTAGTCCAGGGCTTGAACACAAAAATCCAGGCTAAATTTCCAGTGCAGTACTATGGGAGTACTGCACCATAAGAGGTGCTGTCTTTTGGATGAGATGTTAAATGGGGGCACCATGTGCTTTTAAAGGTGTAAAGATCCCATGGCATTATTCCAAAGAAGAGCAGGAGAGTTATCTCTGATATTGCAGCCAATATTTATCCCACAATCAGCATCCCAGCAAAACAAATTATCTAGGCCCGAAACGTCAGCCTTCCTGCTCCTCTGATGCTGCTTGGCCTGCTGTGTTCATCCAGCCCTGCACCTTGTTATCTCAGATTCTCCAGCATCTGCAGTTCCTACTATCTCTCTCCACAAATGAGGAGGTTGGTAGCCAGAGATGGACAGATTTATGATAATTGGCATAAGAACCAGAAGGGAGATCATCAGAATTTTTTTTTGTACATTGAGTATTATGATCTGGCATGATGGAAATAGATTCAACAACATCTTGAAAATATTGAGGGATTAGTAAGCAAGAGTTAGTTTCAAAATTCCATCACATGGATGATGAGCCAAATGTCACCATTCAGTACTGTAATTGCTTCTTTGCATTCAGTTTAACACAGAAGCTAAATCTTCACTCATGGTCTCTATAGAGAGTTGCATGATATTGTCTTCAGCTCTCATTCTTTTGTCTCCCTGAGTGTAAGTCAATAGCATTTTTGTCTTGTTAAAAGTACACTCCAGAGATTGCTTCTTAGTAATAAAGAAAATGTTGCTGTGAAGGCAGTTCAATCAGCCATCGAGCCATAGAGCTTTTGTGGCACAGAAGAAGATTATTTAGTCAATGGAGTTCAATTCAGTTTTCCATATAGCAATCCAATCAGTTCCATTCCTTTAACCCCCAACCTTCTCTTAGCTAATTTCCCTCAGGTGCCCATCTTTTTGGAATCGTTGTTTGTCTCCCTATTATTGTTTTTAAAACTTTACCCATCTCTGATGTTAAACAGTTCAGTCCATAGTTGCTAGGAATGATCTTACACCCTTTCTTGAATAAATATCACATTTACAACTTTCCAACCCTTTGGTGCCTTGCCATGTTCAGTAAAGATTGGAAGATTAAGGAAAGACTTTTTCATTGTCCCCAACTCATTGGACGCGTGTATAAAAGAACGAACGTGTACTTGAAAATTGTGGTGATTAGCACCATCAAGTGCATCTGAGCTAAACTGTAACAATATAAATATCTGATTGTGATCCTACAAACTTCTTTCTTTTGTAATACCAGGAGTTACTACACTTTAACTGAGAAGTCATTAATTTCAATCACTCCATAGCAAGTTGTAATCTTATTTCAATAAATTTTCTGGCACCAGGAGAGGGGAATAAGATATTCATGAAAATTATTGCATTTTAAAAAAGCATCTCCTTCACCAATAATATTCAGGAAAAGAAACCTGTAGATACAATAAATGGTTGCTTCTTATAAGCTCACCAAACCATTCTGTTGCAAACAATAAAAGAAAGAACTTGTATTTTATATAGTGACTTTCACAGCCTCAGGACACAACGAAGTACTTTAAAACCATCAATTAGTCTTTTAAGAATTTTTTTTGGTAGGAAACATGACTTTACGCACAGCCAGGTCCAAAAGCAGCATTGAGATAAATGACCAGATAATCTGTTTTAGTCAGGCCTGTTGAGGGATGATATTGTCCCAGAGAACAAGAATAATTCCTTGATAACAAGGTGTAGAGCTGATTGAACACAGCAGGCCAAGATTGGGGCCGGTCAAGGACAGTAGTGGGAAGTTGTGCGTGGAGTCCGAAGAGATAGGAGAGGTGCTAAATGAATATTTTTCATCAGTATTCACGCAGGAAAAAGACAATGTAGTCGAGGAGAATACTGAGATACAGTCTATTAGACTAGACAGGATTGA